AAGAGATTAGTGGTATAACATTAACATTTAAAATTTGAGAGAGGCATTTTGACAAGTAGCATGCTGTGAGTCAGATTTTTGTTGCTGAAGGATTGTCAGCAAGGTTTCATCTTTCCTGTGTATATTTTGAAAAGCCAAGAGAATCAGATGTTCTTGTTTCATAAGCCTACAGAGGCATGATTGTAACCTGTGCAATGAGGAAAATGAACTTTTAACTTCCCTCAGAGCTTGGCTACATTATTCTCTGTGATTAACTCCAGTTGGCTTAAGAGCAAAATTTATAAGGAGAACTTCAGGGTATAGAAAAATAACAGTAGGAGATTAATATGTAAGTAACAGATACCCTGTTTCCATGGAATTATGGTGAAGGAAGGAAGACAAATAAATACATTTTACATATATTATCATTGCTGCAAATAGAGGATTCTCCATGTTGTCAGAGAGCAGAGAAAAAGATTATTGAAAATACTTCTTGGGGTTTCACATCTGACATCATGCTTTGTATGCGTTAACTTCCATTTGCACTAGGGAAAAAAGAGTGTTCTTTTTTTGATTGTCAACTTTTGTACAATAGGAGCATATGAAATACAAATACTGCTTAATGGGAATGGTTTTATTATATATTTATTAAAAATTGATATTTCTTCCCTAGATAATATCTGCAAAGAAGTCATTAAGGACAATAGTTTGGAGAATTAGTAATTCAATTTTTGTAGAATATAACACATATTATTCTTACAACCCAGTGAAAAGCAGTGATTCTTGTAAGTGTTGATCAAATGAAATTGCACTGAAAGTGTTGATCAAATGAAATTGCACTGACTTCGTATTAAAGTGCTATCCTGTGGTGTGTATGGGAAAGCTTTAAGTCCTTTGCGCAAAGCTCTGTGTTATAAAATTGAAAAGCTGAAAATTTGTAATTTACTGTAGTAAGACAGACCTTTGAACCAACTAGTTGGAATAGAATTTACCTAATGTTTTTTGTTTGTGTTTACTGTTAATAATATATTTTTGTTATTACTAGCTTGACAAAAATAGGTTAGAGATTTAGCATTAATATCCTGGAGGCAACCTCAAGAGACAGCTCCTTGCACTGTGGCCACATCATCAATACCTTGACAGTTCATCCAAGTTCTTAAAAATCTGCAGTTAAGATTTTACAAGAGTTCTTTACTAGGCTATTCTGGTGCTTCGCTGACCTTGAAAGGCTTTTGCTATTACGGAAACTTAGTCCTTTTTTCCCCTGCTTATTAAAATAAACACAGTGTTTATAGAGGAAGAGAGGGAAGAGTTGTAAAAATAAACTTATGTAGACAGATTATTTCAAACAAATAGTAACTTTTGGTCTAAATATTATGTTCCCCGCAGTGAAGCTCCAGTATCAAAGTGACCTACAGATAGATTGGATGCAGGTCTGTATGGAGATGAAAAGCATCTGGTAGCACGCTAATGTTGTCATGAGATGGAAGCTTCTTTGTAGCTAAGTTTATATTCATGTTGTACCAAGTAGCAATTTCAGAGTTAATATTTTACAATTTGGCACATGATCATGAAGCTTATATTTTGAGCAGGTAAAAATGTAACTTCTTGTCTTGCTTTTTTCTTGATGAGTTTGGTAGCACTCTTCTTGAAATTGACTCTGTAAACAGAAAAAACCCTCTAAACAGAGACTTGAAAAACTGTTATTTTCAATTCTAGTGCAGCTTACAAACTTACCACAAAGTCAGGTTACTTACCAACAGACATGATTATCACAGTATAAGTTACTTAAAACAATGAATGGTTTTCCACAATGTGAACAATAAACTTTGTGCTGGAGAAAATACATCTGAGAAGGCATGTAATAATACTCAGTATCCCTGATTTTAACTCTGTCCTGCAATTAAGTCTTTCTTTGACTGCTGATCTGAGCCCTGTTGATCTCATCTATCTCTTTACCTTCCCTGATTCCTGTTTCTTCTCTTCCTCATAGGATCTTTCTGTTTTCTTTGAAGAGAAAACTGACAAAATATAACCTCACCTTCCCCTTTTTCTTATATCTTACCTACTTGCCCTCAAATTCTCTTGTTTTCTCCCTTATCATAGGGAGAAACAAAAAAAAAAATCACACAGAAATTATACTTCGGTTTATGTCGTTTAACCCTGTTTTACCTGGTAACATAAGTCTGTCTTCTAATCTGCTTCACACCTCACTGCTACGTTTTTCTTAACATCTCACTTTCTTTTATATGAGGATTTTCTAGTTCATAACTGAAAAGCAGAGTATTTTTTACAATATGTTCAGGTCAGCATTAAACAAAATGGGTTGGAATCTTTTCTGTTAAATGGGAAACAAAATATTGTTTAGATGGTTTCTTCAGTGAATTTGGTTGCTTTATTTTAATGTCTAAACTTCTGTCAGCACAACATTTTGTAGGAAGGAGATTCATGAGTTTATTATACACTAAGGATTAAACAACATGCTTCTGTTTGTATCAAACCTGCCACCTGTCCCAAAACAAAAGGCAAAATATTTTGTTTTAGAAAATACTGTAGCAAAACATTTAGGTTAGACCCTTTCTCCAGATTTTCATCAAGGCTACATCTACCAGTTCTTTCTGTGCAAGGGTTCTAAGGTACAGCCACTTAATTGCTTTTCCATACATTTTCAGGTCAGAAGCATCACCTAGGTCTTCTCATCCCACCATTCAGCTACTGTGGTCCTTTTTGATGGCCTTGACAAACGCAGTCTTGTCCTTCTCACATCCACTCAGGATTCTGCTATAAAGGAATGATATTTCCAACCCATCCTTATGTAACTTTGTAATATCACACTTGTTTTATTTTTTCAGTTGGTTTCTTTCTTCTCTATCACACAGAAGCTGCTTGTCTTCCCTTTCAAGGTACTTCAGGACTCATTCCCTCTCACTCATCGCTCATTTACTATTTGCTATTTCAGTGATTCTAAACCTCATTCTGATACCCACTGTAACAATTTAACTCTGTCATAAACTGATTAAGACTGAGCCCCTATTAGAACATCAGTAAACTGTACAACTAAGTCACAACTAAGAAAAAGTGCTGTCTTTGCCTTCTCTCAGTAGACATGTCAAAGCCCTTTGATGGTTTGTGAGGGAGTGTTACCTAGCTGCTTGCTTTGCGTTATGACTTTTTGTGGACTTACAGCATGATCACAACCAAATTTGAGACTTAACCTTTGAACAGTATCAGGTTGAATGTGATTAAATTCCTGCCCCAACAAAGTAATAAGATGAATAAGCACCATAGGGATAATGTGTTACCATTTTGAAAACAGAAAACTTAAGTAATAGCTGCAGTTGTGGCAGGCTGAGGCTTTCATGTGTGCAGTGTGTACTGTGACTGCTGAGTCAAGTCATCTTTCTTTTAAACTTTCCGGTTTGTATTCTACTGTTGAAGTTAGGAATCAAAAGTTTCCTGTTTTGTGAGTGCCAAAAGCCAGAGAATGAATGTATACTTGTAGTTCATTTTCAACAATTTACAGTTTGCAACCTAGTTGAAATTTACTCTTGGATTGAATAAAGAACTTCTGGAGAAATCACCAAAGATTTAGAATTCAGAATTTGCAGCTTGGGGGATAGGAGTCAGAGAATTTTGTGGAGGTTCTTCTTTAGTAGTAAGAATACATTTGCTGACAACAATGCATGTTAATTAATGAGGAACTGGATTGCTACTGGAAACTTCTGCCAGACTTCTTGGAAACGTTCTATTGAGAAGAACTAGTTAAAATGCCAATATGAAGGATATTGTTGCAGGTTCGTAATTTCTTCTTGTAGGTATCATGTCTTCTATAATTTGAGATTCTATAATGCATTTGGGCTTTATATGTCAGATGAAGTTATTTGCTTTTAAAGTTAACTTTTATCTTGATGAGGATTTGTGCTATTTAGGTTTTAGGACTGATCTCGCGCCCATGTCAGCTGTTGCTGGAAACGATAGAGACATTTGGAATCCGGAAGAATCAACCTCACAAAATTGTCATGAGTCCTTGAAAGAGTGCTGCCAGATTTCCAAATGAGTCAAGACATATTTGAAAAATCTGTGGATCTGATTTATGGGGTTTTTCTGAGAGAATCATGAAGGGCTGTACTGATAATTCAAAAGTCTCTTTCCAACTACCAAGCAAATTGCCCTGCCATTGTCTAGATTCTGACCAGTTTCTTGTTTTCAGTGGTATAACTCTATGTGCCAGTGCATGAAATCAAGAAATGAAAGTAGGAACATCTATGATGTCATTAGCATGAGGGGTTAAAATGGGAAAAATGCATACTAGAAGCTCCAGTCAAAAATGTTACATGGTGAGAATGCATGAGAGATCTGAATTTTTTGGAAGCTTGCGGGGTGGAAATTAAAGCATCACTTGCTGGACCTTAGGATGGGATTCTTCATTTCCCACCCAAGACAAAGGGTCTATTGCAATTCTGTATCCATGGATCAATTATGTTCCTTGTAAGCTAATTTATTCTAGACAGAGTGTGTTTTTGTATTTGCATGTGTTCTGTTATTTTGCTACTCATAAATTCTCAGTCTAGAGAATAACCTTTACAAAGGATGAATAAGAATTTCCTGCATTTTGTTATCTTCGAAGTTCCACGAGTGTTTTCCATTTTTGGAAAGTAAAAGATCCAAGATTTAATGTTTTCCAGGATGCTGACAAATTATGTTACAGGTCTTATCTTAGCAGTTGAAGTCAGTAGGGACCATAAAGGCTGCACTTCATCTTCTGCTTTTACTTCTCCTGAGTTATGAAGCAATGGAAACACAAAATTAAGAATTAATTCCAGGCCACTTTAGTCTTTGTTACCTCTATGGTGTGTGAACTTAGTATATATTAAGGATATATACTTCTTACTGGGTGATTGAATGAAACTCCTGTTCTTATCAGTAAGTTGATTTCCTAATGTTCTATGCATTATTCTAAAAATTGACTTCCTGGTAACATTGTTCCGTAAAATAAATAGAACTTTTTATCTGTTTTATAGGGTTGTGACTCTCAAATGAGCATGTCAGAAGTGTCCTGCAGTGAAAGCACCTCCTCTTGTCAGTCTCTAGTACATGGCTCAGCTCCAGAAATCCTCATTGGCCTCCTTTATAATGCTACAACTGGAAGATTATCAGCAGAAGTGATAAAAGGCAGCCACTTCAAAAACTTGGCAGCGAACAGACCACCCAGTGAGTGCAAATCTTTTTTCATCCTAATACTTCTGTACTGGTGGGCCTCTCGGTAGCAAGGACTTCAATCTTATCATTTAGTCTTACCCAATCAAAATGAAGTAGAGCAATCATCAACTAATCTGTTTCATGTTTTATATTTCTAGTCAGTTGGGAAATAGCAAAAATCTAAAATTCAAAATATTAATTGTAAGTTGACAAGACTGCTTTAATTTTTCATGATGACTGACTAATAAATTACCTTTATCATAATGATTAATTGCTAAATTACTAATGCCTTACATCACAGGCCAAGAATAAGAAGTTAGTGTTTAAAGAGAAAGTACATGCCAGCTAATATTAATATAAACACTCTGAATAGTTACTGCTGTTCCTAGAGGGGTTGATACTGTAGTCTTTAATTGCTTATGTGCCTGTGTGTATGTGGTAGTAATATATGTAATTTGGGAATGTCAGTGAAGACAACAGAGAAACAAATTGAGACCTTTGGCATATTTACTGTACAGAAGGAATGTTCACCATGGAAAGGACTTGAACTGTGTGTTCAAGCGTTTGTTCAAAAATACATTTGTTTGAAATATCTGTGAACTTTATATACTTTTAAATTGGAGCCAGATGGAATGTCACACACACATAGTGTTTTTACTGTCTATAATTCTTTGATTTATTTTGAGAAAGTTTAGTAATGAACTTTTAAAAAATAATTTTAAAATTGTTTTTTAGATGACAAGTCTGATTTATATAAGTTGTAGCCAGACATACTTACCTGTTCTCTTGATTTTGTCTGGAGGCTCAGGTGTTAGCCCCTCTTTCTATTTCTTAATCCTCGGATTTACATGGCACTAGCAGATTATCTGGCACTACTAGATTATGTAGCAGGCTGCCAACATTTTATAAGTGGTTTGCACATGTCACTTTGTCTTCAGAGTTCAGAAAGTAAGCCAAACGACTTGAGACTGATGCTGTCCTCTTTATTTCTTGACCCATGTTTTATTCCATTTTTTAATTACATTTGGCTCAGCCTTACTCTGCTTTGCTTTCTCTATACTTTTCACACTGATGGAGCCAGACTTTGTTACCATGGCCAGATAAGGAAGGTGAAAGAAGAATCTAATACTTTTGTGTAATTAGTTAGCTGCCCCAGAGTCACCTGTTTGGATACAAAGCATAGAAATAGACGGGGAAAGCCAAGAAGGCCCAAGGACACTTGGGTTGGGAAAGGAATGAACAGGAGAGACAACCTGGAGAGAAGGGACCATGTGTTCCCATAAAGGAAAAAACAGTAGGTGGCTTATGCTGATCTTTCTGGAATTGCCAGAGGAATCCAAGTTTTTCTTAATGTTTAGAATGTGCAAGTTAGATTGGAGTTCAGTACTTGTTTTGAAGACAGATATGTTCATTCCCTGGTATGTTAATTCCCAAAATGTGCTCTGTGGTCCATGCTGTCTGGGTAACAGTTGTGTTTTTTCGAATTGCAAGAAAGCGGCATAGAACTTGGCACATAGCCCTGTAATACCATGTTCTGTGTAACCTTCTTGGAGGGAAGATCTGGTGTGTTACCTTTTGTCATCCCCTGTGAAGGATAGGGGGAAATTTGATGTTAATCTTAATAATAGTCCGGTACTGTTTAGGCAAATGCGGATTTGGAGTTCTGTTGTTGCTCAAAAGCTGGAAATTTATGCACTTTCTGAGTCTGATGAGACTGTACACAGAATATTGTGGAATCTAAATTTCTTCTGTGGGCTGTTTTGTGCTGTCCCCCCCCCAGCAGTGGTAGCGCCTTCTTGTAAACTCCTGGACCCAGGTGCATACCAGTGCCATTTCCTAACTCCTTGTCAAGTACATGATGAACACAGACCAGCTTCTCTCTGTGCCATCGTTTCCACAAAATGAAAACTACAGCATATAGGGTTGATGATTAAATACTCTGATCAAATTGTTGTTTCAACCATCAGTGATCCAAAATCGTGAGAAGTGCTGCAAAGTACATGCACAGGTCAGTTTTCATTCAGGTCTTGAGAAACTATGATAGAAAGGAAAGCAATTTTTATTTCCCACATACTATCCTTTCTGTAGTCTAGGGACTGTGAAACTGTGCCATTTCTGTGAAACACTTCTGCAGCAAGTACCGATTGGGTCTTATGTTTCTGCTTCTTGGTAGCAGAGTTTCCTCTGCTGCATTTTTATGTTTTATGGTAACTAATTTTGCAACTAAGTACTGGAAAATAGGCCGAATCTTGTAGGCAACAACAGTTGATGTTAGAATATATCTTTGATTCTCTATGTGACAGTTAATATTTTGTTTGAGAAAAAGATACTTCTTAAGTAGCCTTTAAAATTTTATTGAAACAGGGTACGAGCTGTTGCACATTAAATGCACGTGTGTGGATACATGCACACACACATTAAATCCATAAATATGTGGATTTTAGCAAGTGAGATCTTTACATTTTAAATAGAGACTCATAGTTGGATTTCAGATGTAAGCATCCCTCAGCTCTTTTTAGAGGTTAGATCAGAGTCATTCTTGTGCCCAAGTCCATCACTACTCAAGAACTAAAGTATCACAGTGAAATATCGGCAACTATAAAAGCTAAAGGCAAAACCAGCTTAGCTTGCAGTTCAGTGATTTTTTTCATTTTATGGCTTGTAATATATGAAGTATAATTACTGTGTGCAGTTTTTCTTAAAATGCTGGAGTTTGCATGAAAAAGCATAAGGTTTGATAAAAAGGATTCAGTGATTTTTACCCAGTCTTCTATAACCTAATCGTTTGCATGATTCTTTCTGTGTTGAGTGTGCTTTAGAACCCAGTAGCTATTAGCGCTGAGATAACCCATTATATAAGCGGTGTAATTTTTGTTAAAGATTACACAAAAACTGCACAGAATTTTCATTTCATTAAATTTTACCCAACAATCCTTTTGTTCGATCCTTTTTCTGATCTATGCTGCTAAGGTTTTGTGTTCTTCCACTCCAGTGAATAGTGTTTCCTCTTAAACTTTAACCTTTGATCCTCTCTCACCCAACTATTGACATCTGGTCATTATTTCTTTTACTGCTTTCCACCCCCTGTTGTCAGACGGACTGTTCTGTTGTCTAAAACACTTGATAGGTGGACAGGTTTATATAATCCGAGGTGAGTTCCTGTAGAAACTAATTGGATGTTGTCTTTTTCATGCAAAAGAAAACTTGCCAGCAGTAAAGCTATCCACAGCCGCCTACCATATTGGTTTATAAAAGTGTGTGTTTATTATTTGTGCCATTCTCTAATGCAAAAGTTGCATTTATCTCTGATTATGGATGTTGGGATTTCAGCATACCTTCAAAGTGAAAATATTCAATGTGTTTCTTTTTACATAAACTCCAGTCTTTTAATAATTCATTAACATGAATATGACAAGAATATAGAAGGAAACACCAGATTGTTTTATACAGTTTTGTATGTCTTGAAATCAGTTAACTTGATGAAATGAGCATCATTCTGCGGGAGTATGGCGTGGTGCTTCTAGTCAGATGAAAACAGAGCTTTAAAAATAAGGGTTTATACCCAAATAGTGGCACCCAGTGTGTGCTAACCATGTTTGCTTGTATCAGCTTCTTAAATGTACTTCCTAAGAGCACTGTACAAGCTGTGTCTTAAACAACCATCTTGAATTATGCAAAAACTTCATTCTCTTTAAAGGTGTATTAAATGCATTCCTTCATGAATCTAGGAATTCAGAAGTTTTTTGTATTGTGTAAACTTCCACCTTTGAATGCCCTTTGCTACATTTTGGTCTTTAAAATCAATAAACTTGAAAAGCCCAAAGAGGGAACCACATCCATGCAGAGATTATTCTTAAGCATTTCATTCTGGCTGTTTCGATATCGTCACTGCATATCAACAGTATTTTTTTTTATCTTCATTAGTTGCCTTCATTCCACTTTCTTTATTCTTATTCTCTGAAAATTCAGTGGTATGCTTTACAGTGTCGTGGCTAGTTGGAGCTTGCTAAGTGTTAATGCAATTTAAATTTGTTTAGAACAAATAAGGGGGGGTCGTCGGGAAGAGGATTATGAGGTATACCTTTAACTTAACCTATTTACATAGTACTGAAGCTAGTTAATTTGTTAGTGTGTTTGTAATATTTTGCTTACTTGTCATCTTTCCATGTGTCTAAACTAAGCTGTGTTCAGTCAGCCTGGTATACACCATATCCTTGTATCTTGTAAATATCTCATTCTCAAAAACTTTTGTTCTAAGATATCTGACATTCCAAAATGTGATTTATTTTGTAGATACGTATGTTAAGCTAACACTGCTGAACTCGATGGGGCAAGAGATGTCCAAATGCAAAACGTCAATCCGCCGAGGACAGCCAAACCCAGTATACAAAGAAACTTTCGTTTTCCAAGTGGCACTGTTTCAGCTTTCAGATGTGACGCTCATACTGTCTGTATATAATAAGCGCAGCATGAAACGGAAAGAGATGATAGGGTGGATTTCCTTAGGTCTCAACAGCTCAGGAGAAGATGAACTCAATCACTGGACTGAAATGAAAGAATCTAAAGGACAGCAAGTATGTAGATGGCATACTTTACTAGAATCGTAACGGACGATACAAAGTGCAGTCGTGGTTTTAAGGAAGTTTGGTCTCCCAAGAAGATGGTCATCCCCAGTCACAATCATCAGATTTGTTGTGGAAGTAAAGAACGAAAATTGAGGTCAACATTCCATCGTAAAGAATGCACAACATGTAAAATGGCAGGATTTGATATATAACCTTCACTTAGTGTCAGACACTTCCTTGGTGTCAGAGAAGCCTTGCTGTGCCCGGATATTTTAGCAGTCCCTCCCCCATCCACCTGATGCTGTATTTGTTTGGGTTTGTTTTGTGGTTTTCAATTCAGAAACATTTTATGTAAGGTTCTCACAAATTAATGTAAGCTCCTCCTTGTGTACTTTTTGTATTGCTCTAATAACTGTAGCTTCTGACCTGCCTGTATTCAGATTAAAGGTCAATAATTTGCACTTTGAGAAAAAGTTAATGATCTGTAGAGTAAAAGAAAAAAAAAAAAAACAAACAACCAACACCACTGGTGAAGAACACTTAGTAATATAGCCAATGTGAATATACTGTTGTTTTGTTGTTTGACACTGAGTTTCTTTCCAGGAGCTTAGTACAAGTTAGTTTTCATTTTTTGGTATGCAGTTGGTTTGAAAAATACTAGCATTTGGGCATCAGGTGAACTTTGACATCCAACTTATGTTTCTTCAATCTGTGACAGGAACGAGCTCTATATATGGCATAAATTGGGTTTTTCCCTCTTGCCTGTACTTCTGCCTAATCCAAAGAGACCAGATCATTAGTTTGGTCCTTCCAGATCTCCTTAGACAGGTTGTACTGTAAAACTATGTAACTTTCTGTTGAAAGCACTTCCTGTATTCATGTATTCCATGTAGGAAGCTCATCGAGCACGACTTTACAAAAAATATATTTTCGTTAAACAAGTTGATAACAGATTTCTTTAATATGTCAGCAGTTGGAAGTTAGGTTGAAAGACTGTGAAGGAGTGGCAGTAGTTGAACTACTCTGAATGAATGCACAATACTGTGACTTTAGTTGAGATGATAGGTATCCATTTGAGTCTCTTCCGAGCTGTTTTTAGGGATTCCTATATGCTGTTGTTTGGAAGTAGAGAGCAGACCAGGAGTTTTTACCTTTCTTCTTGGGGAAGAGAACATCAGTAAGTTATTTTTCTAGTGATATGCCAGCAATTGAATTAATGTTCACACCCAAAACAGAAGTTTGCTTTGCTTACGTTCAGGAAACACAGCTTTCTTACAACACAATTCAGAAGCCACAGTATCACAAGAAAGTTTGCCATCAGATAAGCAGTTGTGGCTTCCACTTAAATTAGGGAAATATCAGTGCTTCTGAGATTCCTATTTGTCCCAAATACTTTAACTGGAATCACACTAATTTACTGACTGCTGAATCTAATTCATATTACTGAAATTGTGGATTATTGAGTAAATTTATTTTTAAAAAGCTTCACAATTCAAATACTCTTTTTCCCTCTAATTGTAAGTTTCTTTTAATTGGTGCTGTATGGAAAGCAAGCTGGTTTTCTTCTTATGAATTCTAATGATGTCTTACAAATATGAGACCTCACTGACTGTTGTAGCACTTGGTGGGTAGAGGAGTGACGTTTTGGATGTTTTGAGAGAATTAGTGGTAGCCTAGAGCATTCTCATTAGGACATGTTTTTCTCTTTAATTTCTTTATAGTACCTTTGAACAATCCTGGCTTTAGGATATACAGGACAGTCAAGTACATTGAGATTGGAGACAATAAGTATGTTATAATAAAGATATTTCACATGGTTCTGAAATTCTCACACTACTTAACCATTTCTTTAAATCCTTTTTATAGGATATTGTAATTCCACTTCTTGGTTTATGTGGTGCCTTTTGAGGGGTTTATTTTCAGAGCCAGCATTTCAGTTTTTATTGATTTAAAGATTTAAAACATTATTACAGGCCTTTTTTCTTTTTCTTTTTCTTTTTCTTTTTCTTTTTCTTTTTCTTTTTTTTTTTTTTCCTGGTGTTGCACTGCTGCTTCATTTACAGAAGCTTTATTTACTAAATACAAATAATTGAAAAACTTTATTTAAACAGGAATGGTCTTGCAGTAATACAGTACAGGTTGTCTCTTTCAGTCCTTTTTGTTGCTCAGTTTGTGACATGTAATGTTGAGTGTAGAATTTAATAAAAAATCAACATTAATTTATACATATATGGAAGATGCTCAGATTTTCCCGACCCTTTCAGCTTTCCATGTAGTAGAGACACTGACATAGAAGCTGATGAAAAGCAATTTTTCAATGGACGTAGGAGTGTTTTTACTAATTCTGTTTGTGGATATTTGGATGCTCTTTCCTAAAGCTGAAGTTTTCTCTTGATGATTATCTCTTTATACAGGTTTTGCTCTATAAAATAATGTACAATATTTAACGGCAAGAAATGAGGAAATTAATTCCAGTGGAGAACGTACTTAACATCACCACTGAACAAATGAAGAAGTCCATTTGGAAGATGCAGCTAATAACCTTTTACAGAACCAAACTAAACTAAACTATATAATGACTTGGGTTTCTGTTTGTAGGTTGCATTGCTTCAGTTTTACATCTAACCGTTCCGATTTCTAAGACACTGAAATCTTTAGATACAGGAGAGATTTATGGTAGTCTGTGTTGGGCACATTTGAGAAGAGGAATCTCTTTATGTGTCTTTTCCTAAGGTATCCATGTCCAGTCTTTGCTACACAGAAGGAGGTTCGGCTTACTTGGATTTATACTGTACAAAGGCTGGGAACTGAATGTATAAAGAATGGAAATGAATGTTTAATTTTGAGGCAGTAGAACATGGATTTGCCATGCAAAACCAGTCACACCAATAATTGGATTCACCCTGGGATTTTTATGAATTTGTTATAGCATCAATAGCTGTCATGTTGTTTTTATTTCCTAGATCCCATTCTTATTATTTGTTTGTAATTTCATTTTTCATATTGCTTTATGCAAACTTACACTTTTGTATTTCAAATCTGCCTTTAGATTTTGGGGTTTTTAAAACCCTGCATAAGGGCTTATATATACAGTGTGGTTTTGTGCATTCAGTTAAGTCTTAAACGTGGAACAGAATTTCTAAAGAACAAAGTATCAGAAACAAATTAGAAAGAGGCATTTGTGTTTTCCTCAGAGTTGTCTGTGCTTTTCTTTCATAGCTTTTTGTTGTTTACCTTTGATCAAAAGTACAGTAAGTACTTGGAAGAGTTTATCAAATGATTTAATTACTTTTGTGTGCCAATATAACATGTAGATATTACAGTTCTTGAAGTGAATCTGTTTCCTGTAGCCTTAAATAATTATAGAACAGTGACGTTCTTACAACTTCTATTCTTGAAAACACCGCATCCTTTCTGCATATGATCTGCTTGATTTAATATTTAGAACATTTCGCATAGGTCTCCTTAAAGTGTTACGAATGTGAGAAAAGTTGGTTAGTTCCTTTCTGTGGTAATGGCAAGATTGTGAAGGTCAGTACAGGCAAGCATGAAAACACTGTGCAGAAGGATGAGAGGTTGTACAGCATCTGCAGGACATCGCTGTCTCCCACATATGAGGAGGCAAGGAGTCAGCAGAGCTGTGCTTCTGTTCCCCATTCAGCCAGGCAGTGCCTGGGAAGGAGGACAGTGCTGGTAAGATTCAAAGCTTGGTCCCTGTGGTGCTGCTTCGTGTTCAGGACTTACGACAGCCACGTTGTAACCACACTGCGAGATTAGACTGCAGAGACAGAAGTTAGACCAGCTGTAAGTTCTGCTACTGGAGAAATATGACATAATTTCTAAATCCAATTAAAATCCTCTAACCTCATTAATAATTAGATTTCAAAATGTGGTGAGCCCGTGGAATAAACACATGTGTTTTTACTGGAGCTGAACATTGTTTATCAATTAAGAGAATACTGAACTGAAAATAGATTTGATGGCATTTACTGTAGGAGATAATTTTCACCTGTAAACTTTTGCAAATATTTCTGCTGGCAAATGCAGTGCCAGCATCAGTAACTTCCCATTTTTCACACCTTTGCAGCAATTTTTTGTTGTTGTTGTCTAAAATTTGTGTGTTACTGATTTATTCTCTTCTCTCCCTAATGACTTGCTCCTGCAAAGTCCCCATCACCCTGAGAAGCTGTCTGTGGCAGTCACTGGACCTTAGAAGTCAAGGGCACTCTGCACCTCTTACAGTAAGGTACTGGTGCAAAATTTCTGTGACCTGTCCAATTCCTTAAGATTTCTCAAAGGCAAACCACTGGTTTTAATAAGGTGAAGCAGAAAAAAACCCCTTTTTTTCTTTGAAGGAGACATTTTAATGTAGGAATTGAATACAGATCACTCTTACACATACAAGTTCTAACAAAAAGTCTGTGGTAAAATCAGAGAATGATGTTTGAGGGGAAGCCTTTTGGCTTGAGCTCTTCCAACTTGAAACTAACAGCAGAATGCCCTTTCATTTAAGTGAGAGTTGTATTGAGCCCTTTGCTTATTCATTGTGCTTTTCTGGAAGTAAAAAAAAAGCTGTCCTGTTTAAAGCAGTCTTTAAAATTATGGCTTGTCACTTGTAAGGCAGACTGACTTCCTCCTGAAGCTGAATTCTCAGTAACAGCTAAACAATCATTAAATTCTCCCACTGATGTGCACGTCTACTTGCCATTAATGTTGAGAGGAGCCCGTGGACATCAACAGGAGAGCAGACGTGACCCTGAAAGTGTGAAGTGCCATAGGATCAGTAGGTTAGAGCAGTCATACAGCGTGGCACCTGTAACACAATCAAATGTGATTTCAGTTATGAATGGAAGTAAAAAAGCAAATACCCAGATACTGTCACAAACTGGTTATTTAATCTTTTTTTCTTCTTTTCCTCAGCTTCTGAAATATTTTTGAAACTTAATATTAAAAATGTTAAAGCAATCCCCAAACATCTTGATCATTTTAACTGGAACACTCAGCAAAGTTTAGTTAGAACAAGCCATCAAGAATGTTCTTTATTTTGGTCTGTTCAACTCAACTGCCAGATTTTGTAGTGCATTGCAGCTGGATTTCAGACTACTTTTTTCTGATGGTAGTTTTTGAGGGGAAAGCCACAGGAGCATTTGCTTGTCAGCGAATCAACACCTGATGAAAAGATGTCATCTGAGAGCAAGAGCATTAAAATAAGAGATGGCTTCATACAGTGGCAGCAGCAGTGACTCACATTCCACTCTTGGAGCCTTGTGCCCCTCAGGAACTGTGTCACGTGAACTGTGGGAGTTCATACATTCAAAGTGGCACAGGTCTGTGTGGGCACTCCATGGTTTCTAACCTAGTGTATTTTACAGAGGTAAGCAGGGTAAATAGTGTTTATTTGAGTAGGGTGAGTACCAAGTGGCCTACAGTGACATGAATTAGTTTAGCCTTAAGAACTTATCACTGCCCCTCCTTAAGTTCAAGCAGGGTTTCTTCCTTTCTGCAGAC